CATAATGCATAGCTATACTGAAGATAATGATATTATAAACTATTCAAAATTCAATTCACCGAAAGGGAAGTTTATCAAAGGATGAAACACACCCCTTAAACAACTAAGAATTGCTAAAGAAAAATTATTTAACAAAATAAATTTTTATATTATCAACGGTCATTGTAATTATGATTGAAAATGACGGTGTGTTGATCTTGGAAGTAAACACTTAAGAGAAAGCTACTGTTCTTCATTAAAAAAAATATTTCTCGATTGACAAGAAAGCAGAGAGTCGGTTTGTGTATATATAGAATAATTCTTATTTCGATTGAACAGATGTCTCTTTAGCCATATTTAGCCATGTTCATTATGACCTTCCCGCGCGTTGCACCACAACGCAACAATATGTACATATCTTGGGTTTAGATTTCTAGTTTCTGTCACAGCTTTCATTGATTTTATTATACAACAAAATAGTCGCTATTGTACAATTTTCGCCATAGTTCATTTTCTACTAAATACAATTATACTCATATATACACCTATAATTATATATTTCTGTCGTTCTCTCTCTCCTTTTTAATGCAAATCTCCTAATATATGTAAATATGCAGATATGTGTATATAAACAGTTCATTTTCTTATACGTTTTCTGTTTCTTTCCTGTGGATGGTCAGTAATTTTCGAAAGAACGGCAAAATAAAAAAAACTTTGAAAGAAACCTTTCGCCTAATGATTCCACGCTTTTAATGAATATGTACATGTCAGAAACAGGAAATGTTGTGTTCCAGGTACGTGGCGGACGAGCTGAAGAAAGGCCACCACGTCAAACCAGAATCCTTCGAGTCCGTCACCATCTTCTTCAGTGACGTTGTAGGCTTCACCCCGCTGGCAGCGGCGAGCACGCCAATGGAGGCAAGTCCCGCGTTGGTTCTGTTCTTCTGTCGAGTTGCTGGTATAACGGGTTATTACTGTTTATGTCAAATAAACATGGATATATACCAGGGGTCGGCAAACTGCGGCTGGCTAGCCACATGCGGCTCTTTTGAAGTGAAGCTCTTTATATAGTTCCATACGTAGATATTATTTATGCGAGAACTATTTATTTTTGGCAAGAAAATATTATTGTGGCTTTTTGAAAACTTTAAAAATTTGTAAATTGTAATTTTTGACTCTTCCGACTTAAAAGTTTGCCGACCCCTGATATAGGCAAGGATAATCATGGTGAGTAAAATTTCTGGCCGCTTATACTGTAAAGGTATTTACATACCTGCACATGTAGAAGCAATTCGACTATGGCACTAACAAGGTATAAGAATCCGTTTGGTAAGTCGCACTCACTAGAGGAATTGAATTGGCACAAGAATCGGGAATCATTGAAATTTTTTTTTACGAAACTACTGCAATTCCTGTTTAAATCTTGGTCATTGTCATCTTGGTCAAGCCTCCAGATCATTGAAATACCTTTGTGGTTGTTCCCACAGTTTAATGTCTGATGAGAAATATCAAACCAACTCAATAGGTTGTTAAAGTCTCAGAAGCTTTATAATTTCCCATACATTGTCTCTGAACCATAGTATCCCTGGCTTGGATACTATCAAAAATATGTGTGTATGACTGTATTTTTTGTACTATTATTTTATCTTTTACAATATCTACTTTTGTCGCCATTTTGCAGGATGTGCAGGATACTCTCGAATTTTAAATTTTTATTTTTATGGATCGTTCCCAGTGAGTCTTGGTCAACTTATTAGTATGTATAAAATAAGCTTTAAACATTGAATCGAAGTTTTTAAGACGGGTTGGTGTTCGGAAATTACATAAACAATTATAACGTCTCAATTTATACAATTATGATCAATTTTAAACTTAAAAGGTATTCAAGTGTAGTTGCATACAAACCGTCCAAATAGATATTAAGCATCTCTAGATGACAACCAGGATGTGGTGTACAGGTGGTGGATCTACTAAATGACCTGTACTCCTGCTTCGACGCCATCATCGAGAACTACTCGGCCTACAAGGTAGAAATACTCTCTTCGGTGGAATTTTCAATCCCTTCAACTAAATAGCACTTTGACACGCATCCACAGCTACTTTAATATTCGCAAATACCACGTAGATAAGATACGGATACTTGTTGATACAATATTCCTGCACCAGTCCAACCTTGAAGTCATAGCTCCCTTACCGTAACCAAGTGCCATGTAGACCAAGCGGCACATGAACTATAATTTGAAGTTCCAACAAGTTTTTTTTTTTAAATGCTCCAATGGCCCCCGATTCTTTCAAAAGTTCAACCCCACCAGTGAGTGCAAGTACCCAAACAGGACTCTGGCACATTTGTAAGTGCAAAGTCGAACTGCTTTTCAAATGTGTAGATATGTGGTGCACTTACAATAAGAGCAGTTGCCTACTTCTACCCACTATGATTATCATGGCCTGTACCACGTGTACTAGGGATAAGCAAAAAAAAACAAGTAGTTCAATATTTTGTCTTATAGACATAGCTCCTTTACCGTGACCAAATGGCCTCTAGGTCAAGCTATACATAAACTCTATTTTAAAGTTCAATCTTTTACCTTATAGGTTCATGCGATAGGGCTAAAGTGTATAAAGTAAACATCGACTACTGGATTGAACATAAATTAGAGTTTATGTGCGTCACTTTGTCTACATTGTACTTTGTCAAGGTAAAGGAGCTGCGACTATATAATATAAAACATTGAATACTGAGTGAAACTTTAAAATAGGGTTTATATATACATCGCTTGTGTGTGGTCTACATGGCACTTGGTCACGGAATAGAAGCTGTGACTATAAGGTAAAACATTTAACTACTGGATTGAACTTTAATTTAGAGCATGCACACACACATTGTTTGGTCTACATTGAAATTTGTCAGGTATATGTGCTGCGACTAAAAGATTAAACATTGAACTACTGGATATAAATTTAAAATAGAGTTTATACATAGCTTGTGACCAACATGGCACTTAGTCACGGTAAGGGAGCTATGTCTATAAGACAAAACATTGAACTACTTGATGGAACTTTAAATTATAGTTCATGTGTGCCGCTTGGTGTACATGGCACTTGGTCACGGTAAGGGAGCTATGTCTATAAGACAAAACATTGAACTACTTGATGGAACTTTAAATTATAGTTCATGTGTGTGCCGCTTGGTGTACATGGCACTTGGTCACGGTAAGGGAGCTATGTCTATAAGACAAAACATTGAACTACTTGATGGAACTTTAAATTATAGTTCATGTGTGCCGCTTGGTGTACATGGCACTTGGTCACGGTAAGGGAGCTATGTCTATAAGACAAAACATTGAACCACTTGATGGAACTTTAAATTATAGTTCATGTGCCGCTTGGTGTACATGGCACTTGGTCACGGTAAGGGAGCTATTACTTCAACGTTGGACTGGTGCATGATTATTGTATCAACAAGTATACGTATCTTATCTACGTAGTATTTAGGAATAGTAAAGTAACTGTGGATACGTGGCAAAATTTTAAAGTACTGAATAGGTCTATAAATTTGAACGTATGCATCCTTTAATCCACAGGGTGTATCAAGTAAATTGGGAATATATTTGAAAGTCCATAGGACAATACTTCTTCAGATAAAATAAATGTACTATTTTTTCATTCCGTAGCCAAATTTATATAAAATGTAACAGCACGCGTGTGTACAGTATAGTGATGAACAATAATATAAAATTTAAAATTCGAGCAGTCATCATTGTTGCTCTGTGCGTCTGAAGAAGCCCCAAAGAGATGGTGGACTTTCTTAAGTTGCCCAAAACCACTGTTTATTGTGTCAAGAAGCAGTTTGGTGAGGCCGACAGTAACAAAGAGGGAATGGCTGCAGGGAAAAAACACTCGCGTCGATCTGACAGGGAAAAATATGAAGTATTTGTAAATAATGTCAAGAAGAGGATTGATGGAAACCCTGGGAAGGTCATGAGGGCCATAGCCGAGGAAATGGGCGTTGGCTCTATGAAAATTGTCAGAGCTATCCATGAGAACCTTGGTCTCAAGTTCTATGCCCTAAGGAAATACCAGTTGCTGAATGATAATTTGAAGGATATCATAAAAGTAACGGCAATAACCTGAAACATGACTCTTGTGGCATTCTGATCTTCTTCTCTGATGGAAAGAACTTTGACGTGGACCAAAAGCGAAATTCCAGTAATTATCGCTGGATCTGTAAAGACCTCTCAGAGATACCTGAGGTACCAGAGGCACACAGAATTCCCTGCCTCCTGATAGTCCTTGGCATTATCAGCAGTGATGTCATGCCTCCCCATTTCTTTGAGAGGGTTCTTAGGAAGAATGCTGACACTTACATCAGTGTCCTGGAGACCGTTGTAAAGCCTTGGATGTACATGGTGGCCGCAGAAAGAAACTGTGTCTTCCAACAGGACTCAGCTTCAGCCCACAAGGCAAAAAAGACACAATCGTGGCTGACACTTAACGCCCCCAGTTACTGGAGTCCTGATATTTGGCCCTCTAACTCTCTATACTGCAACTCCCTCGACTACTAATAATGGGACGCTGTTGATAGAGATGTCAACAAAACTCCCCACAACACCATCCAGTCTGTCAATAAAGCGGTTGACACGATGATGACCCAAATGGACAAGGTCATCGTCGCCAAGCCTCTGTGCTTCTGTTCTTTGCCTCTGACTGTACTTTTTTTATCCCTAGTATACGTGGTACAGGCCATGATAAAATCATGGTGGTAAGAAGTTGGCGACTGCTTTGACTGTAAGTGCACCATATGTCTAAACATATGAAAATAAGTTCGACTTTTGCACTTAAAAATGTGCCCGAGACTCTTTTGGTTATTTGCACTCGCTGGTGGGATTGGACTTTTGCAAAAATCGGGGCCATTAGAGCATTTTTTTTTTTTTTTTAGAAAAAGAGGCACAATGCGGGAATCCATCCGGGGTCGAAAACCAAACGGTTTAGGCCACCCTTCCACCGACCCCCTAAAAAAAAAACTCCCTGGCGGAGAATCGAACCCCGGTCGCCTGGCAGGCGGGAATACTAACCACTATACTACCGAGGAACTTCGAGACTGTTGGGACTAATAATGGAACCTACATTGAAACAATCAAAACTATATCCTTTTATCTAATACTGTGATAAATTTTATTAAAATTTGTTTATTTTTTTTACTTGCAATAAATTTCAGTTAAAATTCCATTGTGTTTATTCCCAATTTACCTGATACACTCCGAAGCTGACCTGAACTGATGAAGGTCTTAGCCCGAAACTATGTATAAAGATTGGCTTTTTGTCTGAATTTGTCAAACTGGTGTTGTGGCTCATTATTTATCTTATACTCATGGACAACACTTAAAAAGGTTGTACCTTTCAGTATGTATATCAGGATTTAGACAATAACTCAAAAAGATATTTGGTACATAGTAACCTTTATTCAAAACAAATGAGAAAACCAAGTGTGAACAAAATTGCCTCTGTCTCCTACAAAAAACAGGCGACCAGCGATATCAAAGACTTTCCAATTCTTTAAGTTTTGCCCATGAGTGTAGTTATTGTCTTTATGAACACTGTAGACAATGGAGGTGGGGACTTGAAAAAGGTTTTTAAATGTTTTTCAAGGTTTCTGTTTGTAGACAGTGTTAGTGATAAGTATGGATTTCTGATATTCTGCAGCCTTCGATCAAATTAGGTCTACCTAGCTCTGGTGTGGGGATAGTCAGGCCTGAAGAAGGTAACCAATGCTGTAACAAAAGTCACAACATAGATGGTTTGTCAAGAAGTTATTGCCAATATTGTTTCACAGATCATCATTGAGCAATACGCAATCAATGGGAGATTTACAAGCGCAAACTTCAAGAATATAAAACAAGTATAGTACAGCTAGGAATTATTAACAAAAGAGATTACAATAACATCTTACAATAAAACGCAGCTTCCGAGGATAAGTTCTTACTTTGTAAAACGAAAATTGCAATTATACCGCGAATGTTTCTTTTAAACAAAATTCGAAATTTATTTTAAAGAGAAATAGCGATTATTTCTAACTTTAAGGATGAATTATGATAGGATGAATTGTGAAGAGTAATGACAAACGGAAAAATAAAAGTGTCCAGGGATGGGAATCCCATCATCATTACCCTTCACAATTCATCCTATCATACTTCATCCTCAAAGTTAGAAATAATCGCTATTTCTCTTTGAAATAAATTTCGATTTTTCGTTTAAAAGAAACATTCGCGGTATAATTGCATTTTCGTTTTACAATCATAAGCCGCGTGATATAGTATATATGTATTCCCATCCCTGGACACTTTTATTTTTCCGTTTGCCATTACTCTTTACAATTCATCCTATCATACTTCATCCTTAAAGTTAGAAATAATCGCTATTTCTCTTTAAAATAAATTTCGAATTTTGTTTAAAAGAAACATTCGCGGTATAATTGCAATTTTCGTTTTACAATCATCAGCCGCGTTATATTGTATTTTAAGTTCTTACTTTATTAAACGTTCTCTCAAGCTTTCAGGTACTGTAAACCATTCTACAGGAGCATACAACAAAATGAATCTCAATATTTTAACTACGATTTATATCTTATACATTATTTACATATTTCAGAAGTGCTAAGAAAACTATTTTGCATAGTATTTGTTTATGGTGCAATATAATTAAACAAAGTAATCTATATATATAAAAATGAATGTATGTGTGTGTGTGTGTGTCTGTTTGTCCTTTATGCCTGACCAAACCACTCATTGGAACGCCATGAAACTTTGGGAAGTTATTTAGTATAGTACTGGGAAGGTTTCTAGCAAATAAAATTTTTGAAATAACTTTTCGCTTTAAAATAATCAAGATAAATATCCTAATTTATCTGTTATTATTCAACAATCTGCTCTAAATATTATCATGATGATACGATGATTTTGTAATGTAGAAAATTAGGAAAGACAAAATTCAGGATGACCCGGCAATTTATTTGAGGCAAGAATAATGATACAATTCCAAGGCAAGATACTATTCCTTTAACTTCCATTTACCGAGGGAACCAATAATATTGATTTTATTCAACTTATCGAGTATTTTTCAAGGGACCGTGAAAAAAATGTTCACTTTATTGAGAGATTCGTTAGACAAACCTTTACTCGGGTAAAACCCGGGCGAAGCCGGGTACGTCCATACAAGAATAATGATACAATTCCAAAGCAAGATACTATTCCTTTAACTTCCAATTACCGAGGGAACCAATTAATATTGATTTTATTCAACTTATCGAGTATTTTTCAAGGGACCGGGAAAAAATGTTCACTTTATCGAGATATTCGTTAGACAAACCTTTACTCGGGTAAAACCCGGGCGAAGCCGGGTACGTCCGCTAGTTTATAATACAATATAATGCGGCTTATGATTGTAGAACATAATTTGAAAATATCCCGCATGTGTTTCTTTTTAACGAAAAATCTAAATTTATTTTAAGGAGAAAAAACGATTATTTCTAACCTTAGGGATGAAGTATGAAAGGATGAAAGATTCACAATTCACCCTTTCATACTTCATCCCTAAGGATAGGAATAGTCGTTATTTCTCCTTAGAATAATTAAAATTACGATTTTTCGTTCTGTAAAAAGGAATATTTGCGGTAAATTTATGTTAAACGTCGTTCTATAATCATAGCCGCATAAGTTTCTTATGCTTATCTACAAACATTAATAGAAGAGCAGAAAGGTGTGAAGATATTTTCCGCGTCTCATCTGTGGGTAAAATTTGGATCTGATTGTCTACTTGTACTAAGAAAGATATTTATAACCCAGGTTGCTGGAACTCAGAACGCCAACTACCGAGGAATCTTGTACCAACCCCTGTGACATTATTCTCAGAGAGCATGACGTGACAGGTGGAGACCATTGGCGACGCCTACATGGTGGTGTCCGGGCTGCCAGTGAGGAACGGGAACGAGCACGCGCGGGAGATGGCACGTATGTCACTGGCCATCCTGCGGGCCATCAGCCAGATGCGGGTACGGCACCGGCCCGACGTCACCCTGCAGGTCCGCGTGGGCCTACACTCAGGTCCGTGCCTCTCCTTCTCTCTTATAAAGCTGTCCATCATATCCCCATGTCTATATATATACAATAGAACCTCCCTGTAAAGGACACCTAATTGCAGAGCCAAAGTATCCTTTAGGGAGAGGTGTCTTCTTACCGGAGAGTTCCTCAATAGTAAAAATGATAATTTTACAAATAAGAGCTGTCTTTTGTAGAGAGGTGTCCTCTAATGGAGGTTCTACTGTATATATAATTTGTGATAAACGGCTGCCTTCTGAAGATCATTTAGTCAAAGCTCCCACTCTGATGAGCGACCCTATCTTTGAGCATCTTCAAAACCCAAACTGACCTGATATTAACCAACTTCCAAAGAGAGACTTCAACTATCAGATTTCAAACAATTTTATTAACCTTCAGAAGTATTAAACTCATACTAATATAGATATAGTAAGGGAAAGCACAAAACTACATACCATTATGTACAGTCAATAAGTCTCCACCAATAACGAAGAGTTCTCCTTCAGGCAATGAGGTGAACTTCGGTCACCTCAAGGCCATTATTGAGGGTTCTCAATATAGATTGCTGTCTCTCTTTACCTTGAGAAACAACCTAGTGTTTAGTCCAGCTACTTGACCAGCTCGGCAATTCTGAAGAGGCTCTAAGGACGACTATCAACCGTCCAAAAACTTATCCAAAACTCATTTTTATTGAAAAACACGCTCAATTTATACATTAAAGAAATTTACATACTAATTTATACATTAAAGAAATTTAATTACTAATTTATACATTAAAATAAATTTACATACTTTTTTCTCTTAAATTTTAAGTTACAAATATATTTACATAAAAATAAAGTTGACTACTCTAGTTGTCGTAACAGCCATGGTTAACGCGAAAATGAATAGGGCGTCGTCATCCATACCTTGTCTCAATATCAATTACAATTGACATAATTTCATGACATCTTGTCAATACATTCAAAAGTGCACAGTGTCTGTGCACTATTATATTTAAAAAATAATAAGATATATACACAATTATATACAATGAATATGTACATGGCGCCTTTGCCACCACTGCAAAGTTTGGTCTAAAATCACCAGCGGGTCTCCAGCGGCACCACGCATTTCGCGATCTACGAAGAAAACGTAGATCGCGTGCTTCTCCGCAGAGGATATGGTCATAGCGTTGTCCTTGAGACCAACTGGCAAGATTCAGGACTGCAGGTCCGGCGGCCGCTTCAAGACCCAGCACTGCAGGTCTTGTGACTGCTGTATGATGCTGAATGCGGGGAAAGAAGACCCTGCCCTAGTACTGATATGTTGGTTGGAAAAGGGCAGGGGCACCCACACCCTTGGGGATAAGGTAGTGTGGCGGTCCTCTAGCCAGTGGTTTCACTGACCGTGGGTTCGCCATGAGTCTTGAAACTCTTGGGTTTTCGCTCTGTGTGTGCGCGATTGGGAGCGTCCTTGCCGAGCGCGTCGTGGAAAACCAAGGAGTACACACAGTAGTAGCACCGCCGCCTTCGCGCGGTTCCCCGTGTCAACCTCGTACCTCAGAGGTCCTTGATTCGTCGGCAGATTCAGGGAATACTGGGAATTAAGGGTACGAAGGCCAAAGGGGGGGGGGAGGAGTCCTATTGGAGCATAAAAGACAGGTTTAACCAAGTCCAGACGAGAGGGCTCGGACAGCAACCTGGCCACGAAACTCTCGTAGACGCCTGTGGGCTGATTGGTCGACCCCATGGAGCTAGACCATAAAGGCGGGCGCGAGGGGCCTAACCAAATGGCCGCTCGGTGCATGGAGAATGCACCAGTTCCTAACTGGCTGGAAAACTGGATGGCAGGGGTGCAGCTTCGGCTGCAGGCGTTCAGGCAATACTAGCTTAGGTAGCCATTCCATCCTACGATGTATGATGTTGAATACATAAACCGACTTTGAAAAATAAAAATAATTCGGTCTAGGTAGCCCACTATTCAATGGTGTATGATGTTGAACCAGCTTATGGACCGA